CAGTTAGCTTAAAGTTCAGGTAGTGAAAGAGGGGAGGGGTGTCATTATACTGTATGGGGTTGTAATTTTACTTTATTCTGTCTAATTAATTTATATTTTGCTCTGTTATACAATAGAAGCTCTACTTACAATGCCGAAACATACACATTTTCCAACATCCGAAATTAAATTAAATCAAATATTCCACTCGACACCCGAAGGAAATTTCCAATGACGTCGAAGTCTTAGAAAAGAATCCAAGTTAAATAAAAATAAATAAGATAAGTTAGCTTAAAGTTCAGGTAGTGGAAGTTAGAGGAAGTTAGGGTTCGTCTTGTTTCTCAGTCTCCACCTATACTTCCATTCACCAATAAGTGCCAATAAAACCCCCTTTTTATAGATTATTTCTTTATAATTTATTTATTTTTACATCTCTTTTTACATACGAAGGAGGTACTGGAACAAATTAAATTCGTATGCAGAGGTTCTACTGTACTTACAATCTTATTTTTCTCTCTTCTGTATACGGGTTCACTGCAAGAAAATAATTTCTTTGACAAGATTTGAGGGTCGTTGTTTTGGGGTGTGTTTTTTTGTTTATTTCTGTTTGGGTTTGTTTTAGTTTTTTGTATTTGCTTTTGTTTTTTGATTCTGTCATATCAGTTTTCAGGATGTTTTTGGCACTAATACTCAGCAGAGTTCCTATGTGTGCAGATTTCTATGCTGCATAACATATAAATAACTTCTTTTTTTTCTTTCATTGGAAATTCAATAACAAGATTGCTGACTAAGCAGCAGCCTGCCCTCCGGGCACTAATGGCTGACAGAAATCCAGTCACGTGGTTTCCCCTCAGGGCTTTTTTTCGAGGAGGGGTGCGGTTAGAAAGACAACACGAAGAGCTGAGTCCCTCTTCCTGGAAAAGCTCGTACCCACATTAGTGGGGAGCTTATTCCCTCAGACACGATCTGGATCCATTTTCATTTTTTTTTTCCATCAATGTTTTTTATGATTTTCAACAATTATACATACCGTATAAACAAGTACAAGAACCATACCATAAACAAACACCCTCTCAGATACACATCTGCATTTGAATACTTTTACACGTTTTTCATTAAGAGACACAAACTGGTTACAAAGGCTTCGATATTTCCAAACAGATTTCCAAGCTGGTATTACTTAATTGTCCTCGTCGTATTCAGATAAGTCCATACCTTCCACAAAAGTTATAAAGGGTCTCCATATATTTTCAAATAAATCACTTTTTCCTTTTAGGAAATATGTTATACGTTCCAGGGGTAAAGTTGTCAGCATTTGCCTGATAGTTGGTGCTGCGGATTTCTTCCAGAAAAGTGCAATTAGACGTTTGGATCCAGTTTCATATGACTGAGGAGATCGATAATGGACGTGAGCCCTCTGCTTTACTTTGCTTGGCTCATCGTTATGCTCTCTCTCTCTCTCTCTCTCTCTC